TTTTGTCTCCACCACCTCCACCTTTCTTCCCTGTTAGTCTTTAACAGTATTTAAAGTTCTCAGTAAAAACAGGCTCATGTCTTCACACGTTTGTGAAGTTGTGAATAATCATGTGAATTAAGAAAGAAAGTCGTAAAAATGATCGTTTTTTTGATACTCGAGCCGACCTGCTGAGTCCTTGAACCTCACCACCGCCTTCCTCCAGGTGACCCGTCAGATCCAGGAGCACGAGCAGGGCTCGGCGCTGCGTGAGCAGATGTCCGGCTACAAGCGCATGAGGCGGCAGCACCAGAAACAGCTGATGAGCCTGGAAAACAAGCTGAAGGCGGAGATGGACGAGCATCAGCTGAAGCTGGACAAAGAGCTGGAGAACCAGAGGAACACGTTCTCCACAGAGGCCGACAAGCTGGCCAAGAAGCACCAGGCCATCCTGGAGAAGGAGGTGCAGTTTTTACTATGATAGTCTTTTGTAGAGTATTTTTGTTTGATGAATTCAAAAACAGGTTTCAGTGTTTTTAACAGGAATTCTTTTAGTTTTTGCATCATTTCATAGATCAAAAAAGTTTTCTGTCTTAATGTGAGTCACGAGTTCATTTCTTAACGTAAGGATGCTGTTTGTGTGCCCGTGCAGACGAAAGCTGCTCTGACGGAGGAGAAGAAGTTCCAGCAGCACATCCTGGGCCAGCAGAAGAAGGAGCTCACCAGTTTACTGGACTCACAGAAACGCCAGTACCGCCAGCGCAAGGAGCAGCTGAAAGAGGTCGGAGCGAGTTCCTCCACAGTCAGTGCAGCTGCGCGTGGCCTGCAGGCTGAGCGTAGCTGCTCTAAAGCAGCCGAACGTGCCGACAGGCTGTAATTTAAAGGTTTCTGTGAAACAGAAAAACAAACAGGATCTCCCACAAACGGAGAAAGTCCTGTCGGAGCTGAAACATGAAGCTGTTTAAATAAAGAGTAAAATATGTCAAATAAAAGGCAGCGCAGCTGAGTTACAGCTGGCGTCTGACTGCATCTGGATTTTCAGAATAAAGCAGCAGAAGCGATCTGTGATACTAACGTAAATAAAGATCACAGCCCTGACCTGACCTGAACTCTGAACTCTGAACTCTGAACAGGAGCTGAGCGAGAACCAGTCGACTCCGAAGCGAGAGAAGCAGGAGTGGCTGGTGCGTCAGAAGGAGTGTCTGCAGCAGATGCAGGCGGAGGAGGAGGCCAGCCTGCTGCGGCGCCAGCGGCAGTACTACGAGCTGCAGTGCCGCCAGTACAAGAGGAAGATGCTGCTGGCTCGCCACAACCTGGAGCAGGACCTGCTCAGAGAGGTGGGACAGCAGCTGTTTGTTTGTGCTCCGCTCTCTCCGGCTGTGATTCGCTGTGATTCCCGCTTTTCTCCGTCCTCCAGGAGCTGAATAAGAAGCAGACGCAGAAGGACCTGGAGTGCGCCATGCTGCTGCGCCACCACGAGTCC